CCAATGACCAGCCCTTCAAAGAACTTCATGGCTACCGACGTGAGTGCTACGGGGCGGTAGTCATTTAGGCAGGTTTCCTTCGCTTTCTTGGGCACAGGGACTATGGTGGTCTGCTTGAAACATGTAGGTATTGCAGACTCGGTCAGGGAGAGGTTGAAAATGTCAGTGAAGACGCAATTGGTCCACGCATGCTCTGAGTACACATCCTGGTAATCGGTCTGGCTCCGTGGCCTTGTTAATGTTGACTTGTTTAAAGGTCTTGCTCACATCGGCTACAGATGAGCGTGATCACACAGTCGTCTGGAACAGCTGGTGCTCTCATGCATGCTTCAGTGTTGCTTGCCTCGAAGCGAGTATAAAAGGCATTTAGCCCGTCTGGTAGGCTCGTGTCACTGGGCAGCTCGCGGCTGGGTTTCCCTCTGTAGTCCGTAATAGTTTGCATGCCCTGCCACATCCGACGAGCGTCAGAGCCGGTGTAGTAGGATTCAATCTTAGTCCTGTATTGACACTTTGCCAGTTTGATGGTTCGTCTGAGGGCATAGCAGGATTTCTTATAAGCGTCCGGATTAGTGTCCCACTCCTTGAAAGTGGCAGCTCTTGCCTTTAGCTTGGTGCGGATGTTGCCTGTAATCCATGGCTTCTGGTTGGGATATGTACGTATGGTCACTGTGGGGACGACATCGTCGATGCACTTATTGATGAAGCCGGTGACTGAGGTGGTATACTCCTCAATGCCATTGGATAATCCTCAATTATACTCCTCAATTCCAGTCTGTGCTAGCAAAACAGTCTTGTAGCGTAGCATTGAGCGAGTCACTGGTACTTCCTGCTTTAGTTTTTGCTTGTAAGCAGGAATCAGGAGGATAGAATTATGGTAAGATTTGCCAAATGGAGGGCGAGGGAGAGCTTTGTACGCGTCTCTGTGTGTGGAGTAAAGGTGATCTAGAGTTTTATTTGTGACATGCTGGTAGAAATTAGGTATAACGGATTTAAGTTTGCCTGCATTAAAGTCCCCGGCCACTAGGACCGCCTCTTCTGGATGTGCATTTTCTTGTTTGCTTATGGCTTTATACAGCTCGATGAGTGTGGTCCTAGTGGCAGCGTCGGTTTGTGGTGGTAAATAGATGAAAACTCTCTTGGTAGATAGTGTGGTCTACAGCAGTACTCTACCTCAGGCGAGCAATACCTCGAGACCACCTTAATATTAGACATCACGCACCAGCTGTTATTGACAAATAGACACACACCCCCACCCCTCGTCTTACCGGACGTAGCTGTTCTGTCCTGCCGATGCACAGACAACCCAGCAAACTGTATATTATCCGTGTCATCTTTCAGCCACAACTCGGTGAAACATAAGATATTACAGTTTTTAATGTCCGTTGGTAGGATAGTCTCGACCTGAGCTCATCCAGTTTATTCTCCAGTGATTGCACATTGGCCAATAGAACGGATGGTAGAGGCAAGTTACACACTCGCCGACGAATTCTCACAAGGAACTCTGATCTACGCCCCCTGTATTTCCTTATTTTCTTCATGCGAATGACGGGGATTTGGGCCTTGTCCGAGAGCAACATTATATCCTTCGCGTCAGCCTCATTAAAGAAAAAATCTTTGTCCAGTTCGAGGTGAGTAATCGCTGTTCTGATATCCAGAAGCTCTTTTCGGTCATAAGAGACGGTAGCATCAACATTATGTACAAAATAAGTTACAACCAATGCGAAAAAACACACAAAATAGCACAATTGGGTAGGAGCCCGTAAAACGGCAGCCATCCCCTCCGGCGCCATTTTCCTGATGTGTTTTAAGCGTTGTTGTGGACTTACAACATCAATTTCTTTCTATTAAAAATAGTGATTTTAATAGCGAAAACCTGAAAAAACTGGGGAAAAATGTCACCTGCAAAAACGAAACAGAGAAAACAGAATTTGGGAAAAAACTAAACGGAATCAGGCAAAAAAAAATTACATTATTTTTTTAGGGCCATATGTATGCTATGCTCAGTTACCTTGTGTGTCCTCCCTGGGGGCAGAGATGCTTAGGGGGAAGGGGCTCCCCTTTTCCGGCCACTGGTCCCTCTTCCCACTGATCCCCCTCCTGCCCAGTGGACTTCACATTGTCCAAATACGTTGTAAAAAGTTTTGTATTTATTTAAAACTTCAACTATGCCTCATTGTCTTCTGTGCTCTATTATTACAGTTTGCATATACTGTGGTATTCTAGTAGGAGAGTGTATAAAAGTGTAGTAGTCCGAGTGTTTATTTCTGATGAAATGTGTGATCTAACTGACGCACAAACCAAAGTAATAAAGTTGACATAGTAGTACATCAAAGTAATCAGACCAATTGTTTTACTACATTTAACTTTGGCTCTATTTAGTTGCCTTGTTTAAGTTTAACTTCTTCAGCTACCACAAAAATGATTTTAAACAGAAAGCAAGCCCCACAACTTTACTTCATGTACAGTTACCATCTAGTTTCATTTGCTATTCAATTCGTGAGAGCACAGTCAGATATTACACATTGCATATCTTTGTGTATTTCATTGATGCTACAAAGTCAAGGATTGTGTGCATCATATTTTATCATGTGTTTCAGTGTGGAGGGAGGATGTAAAATTGTGGAAGAACACAAACACTTGTGTGATGGTGTGGGTACATAGGCAAAATAATCTGCTCGGAATTACAAAACCTTTTGAAAAATGTAAAATGTTCAATTCCTTTTTCAATTAAAAATATAAGTTATGCCTTTGAAAACAATCACATGGTCCTGTGGCTCCACCCTTAGAGGTGTCTTTGTTGTCGCGTGAGCGTCTGGGGTCTGTGGCTTTTTACGTCAGGGTCGCGGGAGAGCTGGTGCATGGCGTGCGTGCTGTGTTGAAAGGTCAGTGCAGGGACAGGCCCACTAGCGCGTCTGTCTGCCACTTCAGTCTAGCAGACTGGGGGGAACGTGTGAGAGGAAGTGTCATCCGGCTAAGGTTAAGAGCAGGGCACTGTCTGTGTGCCAAACTGCCAGTCCATCATAGCACAATGCATGTGGCTCTGTACCAATATCCATTCTATCATACTACCTTGAATGAAACAATGTATTGGGTATGTATGGGTATTTGCTGCTAGTATGGCTATTGGAATGTACCCAATGGTTAAATAACAACCAGAACGCAAACATGTTTTCAGTTGTCCTCAATTCATAGAACATCCACAGAATAGTAACAGTTTCCTAGTAGCATTTCAGAAGTGTAAAAGTGTCTCCTTAGCTTTATCTAGATGTAATTAGTCAGACATTTACCTTACTGAATACATTAAAATATCCCCCTCTACTGTTAGACAGCAGTTTGGCTTCTATTCCAGTCAGCTTCATAATAATAGATGGCCCAATCTGGAATCTGGTTGCGCCCTTAGGTAGAATTAGTAAATTGCAAAGAGAGAGAAAACGTGTCTGTGTAAATGTCAGTGCAGCTGTAGCCTTGCATTAAGCTCAGTGTGACAGCGCCATATGTGTTGCACTGATGGGCGAGACATGTGCCAGAATGAATGTGCTCAACAAGTCCTGAATACCATTACATATTTTAGTTGCACTTTATTTTATGCTACTGTTTTCATTGGTATTTTGGACCACCTGGTATGTATACTGAACAAAAATATAAATGCAACAATTTCAAAGACTTTACTGAGTTACAGTTCATATAAGGAAATCAGTCAATTGAAATAAATTCATTAGGCCCTAATCTATGGATTTCACATGACTGGGAAAACAGATATGCATCTGTTGGTCACAAATACCTTTAAAAAAAAGTAGGATCAGAAAACCAGTCAGTATCTGGGGTGACCACCATTTGCCTCATGCAGCGCGACATATCTCCTTCACATAGAGTTGATCAGGCTGTTGATTGTGGCCTGTGGAATGTTGTCCCACTCCTCTTCAATAGTTGTGTGAAGTTGCTGGATTTTGGTGGGAACTGGAACACGCTGTCTTACATGTTGATCCAGAGCATCCCACACATGCTCAATGGGTGACATGTCTGGTGAGTATGCAGGCCGTGGGAGAACTGGGACATTTTCAGCTTCCAGGAATTGTGTACAGATCCTTGCGATATGGGGCCGTGCATTATCATGCTGAAAAATGAGGTGATGGCGGCGGATGAATGGCATGACAATGGGCATCAGGATCTCGTCACGGTATCTCTGTGCATTGGAATTACCATCGATAAAATGCAATTGTGTTTGTTGTCCGTAGCTTACATTTTTACATTTTCAGTCATTTAGCAGACGCTCTTATCCAGAGCGACTTACAGTTAGTGAGTGCATACATTATTTTTTTTATTTTTATACTAGCCATACCATAACCACTCGGTACCCCCTAAAATCAACTTTAATTTGTTATAAAAAATCTTATGAAACTGAACAGAATATAGGCTAAATTGCAAATAAGATATTGATACATGGTCAACCATACTGCCATTGAAAAGATCATACCAAGTATATCAAATGGGGACAAACATTGTTTAAAATTCCCTCCTCAAAATGAAAATGTTGGACCTTAAATAATACATTACATTTTTGGGAATACAGCACCATTGACTATAGGATAATGAAAGGAGAGAACATAATATCCTATAAATAATCAAATGATTGTCATTGGATCAAAATAATCAAGCACCTATTGCAGTAATTTTGTTGGATGCAATATTTGTGTTGAAAAGAAATGTGAGAGAGACAGAAGTAAATAAGAGCAGATTAATTGTGTATTGATTATTGAGAATTTATCAATATTGAGTAAAATAAAATGGGGGGGGGGGGGGGGGGCTGATTGGGCTAATTTCATAGGATTTAAGCAGAGTATGTGAGTAAAGAAAAGGAGGAAGCGAGGACCTCGACAGAGAGGGACAAAGACAAACGAGGGGATAAGGGAAAGTCATATATTGAGTAGTCATCAATATTGAGTCTGTGCCCCGCATCGCCAAGGCGTGGGAGGAAGGTGTCATGGCAGCAGAGGGCTTCTTCAGCTGCAGGCGTCGAAGGCCCAGCCCAGCTCCTTCAGGAAGCTCTTTTTCCCACACTGGACCTTTCCATAGCGCTCCAGCTGCAACTCGGGCACGGCCGAGCGCCATCCAATCTGAGCCTGGGTGGTCTGGGGAACTGGGGGAGAGGGTCCCACCTGCAACCGACCTCAGTGTCACATATGGTCCAGCATTACTGTCTGCAAATGGCACCCTATTCCCAACATAATGCACTACTTTTGACCAGGGCCTTACTTGACCTTGGCCCAAAGGAGTTTGTAAGGACTCACTTGGATGTATTTATCAGGTGGGGTAGGGGGTCGTGTTTTAAGATGTTGGGGAAGCTCCAATTTGACAACATCCTTCAGCTTGTTGCTCTCCTCCTGCATCTGTAAACATTGCATGAAATATCTGTACATCTGAAGAAACTCATAGATATGTGATTGAACGACCCAATAACTTTGATTTCATTGTTTTGATTCAAATGGAGCCCAGTTCAGTCTGTCCCTACCTGGCTAATCAATAGAGGCCTATAGGGTTGTACAGTATGGTTGTATTCTGAAGAAGTAAAACTAGAACTTCTTCTGTGTTTATACTGCATCAGGTTTCACTGGCTTACCTCCTTGTAGGACTCGGTCAAGAATCCCCATTTATTGGGCCAGGCTTTGGCTGACTCAAGCTCTGTTTTGACATGAACTTTCCTGAAAATGAATCAAATACATGTAGAAGGCTTTTGAACAAGGATTGGACCTGAAAAGAAATGGCTCCTAAATCAATTAACACAGATCAGAGAACCATATAATTCAAAAACAAAGATAGTTTCAAAGATAATCTAGAGAGAGTAGGCTAACCCTCTACTGACCCTGAGTAAAATCAATATATTCTATACTACTACTACTACTGCTACTAATGCTAGTACTACTACTACTACCAGCCTACAACTACTTGTACTACTACTTCTGCTGCTACTACTACTACTACTACTAAACTTGCCTTCTAATACCACCACCACCACCACCACCATGAACTACTGCTAACCAATCCACCATTACTGCAGTACCACTACTGCCACTACTACAACAATAACACATCCTTCTTGAACAAAAGTGACAAACCTTGTGCTATATAAAAAAAGAAAGTAGAATTTGTCAGCAAAATTCAAAGAATACACAATAGAAAATGGAATTGCATTTGTTTTGTTGTGAACTCATAGACTTGAAAGAGTTTACCAGATTTCATCTTGATCCACAAAGCTGCATTCATTACCAGATCCAAGTGGTTTGCAGGCTGCCATCTATGCTGGCAAGTGTGTCTGTCTCTCTGTAGTGTATGTGACTTCTCACCTTTCAGTCTTGTTTGTTATACTGACAGATATGTTTACCATCACCATAGCAACAAAGTGGAGTCAGAGAAACTATCCTTTCATGTATCCTTGGAAACAATTCCAAATAATTTGAGTGTCACACGGAGATCACACACTGTGTAAAATTAGAAACAATTTGAGTAAACAATAATGTGTGTTGTTATGGATTTGGACTACATACGTAAATATGTTTAACTGACATTTTTAAGTTAATAATCAGCACCACCTTTTGAGCAGCTCACGTCAATTTATACATGTCTTCCTGAAGTGCCTATTACAGGGTTTTTTTTATAGCAAAAAAGGTTAATTGCATTGTGACCTCCTTAAAGTAAATGCCACTTGAATGGGGTCGATGATAGTGATTTGGCACTCTTAGCAATACCTGTTGAATATTTAAATAAAAAGCAATTTGTCCTGACCTAGAGGTCAGAGGTCAGACCTCAGAAGTCCCAAAGCTGGCTAATTACCTCCATAACGTCTCTTACCTTACAGTAATCACAATGCAGGATTACAAGCTGACTCAATGTAATAGTACTACTCTTAGGAGATGCAGTATTTCAGACTGCCAGTAGAGGATGTTCTCTTTCTTCTGTTGAACTGCATCAATACCCAAACTCAGCCAGTCATAGGCCTATCCTCTTAGGGATGGATCGAAATTTACAGAATGGAGGAAAATGGGGGAGGGTCATGCTTTTTCAATTTCAGTCAAGGGGAGGGTTTAGTATTTTTTTTATGTAGTCCAGGGGAGGGTCATGTAATTTGTAATTTGATGAAATTTCAATATTTCTCAGTGTTTTAGAATTAGTTGCTTATTAGGCTATATATCGATGTGTGCCCGATGCCGCCGTTCATCTCTGATTCTCTGCTGGGCACGCAATATCAAGTGCGCCTGTAATCCCCTGTAGCTCAGTTGGTAGAGCACGGCGCTTGCAATGCCAGGGTTGTGGGTTCGTTTCCCACGGGAGGCCAGTATGAAAATGTATGCACTCACTAACTGTAAGTCGCTCTGGATGAGAGTGTCTGCTAAATGACTAAAATGTAAAATTTAGTGTGGTCTCAATCAAATGATCCATAGGCTACGAAGTGCCTGCTCGAGAAGAACAGAGCAAAGTTATATTTCTAAGATAGCTGCTGGGATGGTGTAAATAAAACTAGGCTGCATTATAAAGTGCAATGGATATTCCAAACCTGAGCCCCGACCTGCTCTGCTCCTACATTTACATTTTAGTCATTTAGCAGACGCTCTTATCCAGAGCGACTTACAGTTAGTGAGTGCATACATTTTCATACTGGCCCCCCGTGGGAAACGAACCCACAACCCTGGCGTTGCAAGCACCATTCTCTACCAACTGAGCTACAGGGGACTTTTTTTGTGTTGCCTAATCAATGCTGTGCTGTGTAGGCCTACAATGGCAGTTCAGGAGGAGAGTCAAATAATTATTCAGATTTTTTTTATTTATTAGGCCTAGTCCAAAAAATGCTATATCTTGTGCGTGGACTAGTCTACAGTCGTGGTCAAATGTTTTGAGAATGACACAAATATTACTTTTCACAAAGTCTGCTGCCTCAGTTTTTATGATGGCAATTTGCATATACTCCTGAATGTTATGAAGAGTGTTCAGATGAATTGCAATTAATTGCAAAGTCCCTCTTTGCCATGAAAGTGAACTTAATCCCAAAACAACATTTCCACTGCATTTCAGCCCTGCCACAAAAGGACCAGCTGACATCATGTCAGTGATTCTCTCGTTAACACAGGTGAGAGTATTGACAAGGACAAGGCTGGAGATCACTCTGTCATGCTGATTGAGTTAGAATAACATACTGGAAGCTTTAAAAGGAGGGTGGTGCTTGAAATCATTGTTCTTCCTCTGTTAACCATAGTTACCTGCGAGGAAACACGTGCCGTCATCCTTGCTTTGCACAAAAAGGGCTTCACAGGCAAGGATATTGCTGCTAGTAAGATTGCACCTAAATCAAACATTTATCGGATCATCAAGAACTTCAAGGAGAGAGGTTCAATTGTTGTGAAGAAGGCTTCAGGGCGCCCAAGAAAGTCCAGCAAGCGCCAGGACCGTCTCCTAAAGTTGATTCAGCTGTGGGATTGGGGCACCACCAGTGCAGAGCTTGCTCAGGAATGGCAGCAGGCTGGTGTGAGTACATCTGCACGCACAGTGAGGCGAAGACTTTTGGAGGATGGCCTGGTGTCAAGAAGGGCAGCGAGGAAGCCACTTCTCTCCAGGAAAAACTGATATTCTGCAAGAAGGTACAGGGATTGGACTGCTGAGGACTGGGGTAAAGTCATTTTCTCTGATGATTCCCCTTTCCGATTGTTTGGGGCATCTGGAAAAAAGCTTGTCCGGAGAAGACAAGGTGAGCGCTACCATCAGTCCTGTGTCATGCCAACAGTAAAGCATCCTGAGACCATTCATGTGTGGGGTTGCTTCTCAGCCAAGGGAGTGGCCTCACTCACAATTTGTCCTAAGAACACAGCCATGAATTAAGAATGGTACCAACACATCCTCCGAGAGCAACTTCTCCCAACCATCCAAGAACAGTTTGGTGACGGAAAATGCCTTTTCCAGCATGATGGAGCACCTTGCCATAAGGCAAAAGTGATAACTAAGTGGCTCGGGGAACAAAACATCGAAATTTTGGGTCCATGGCCAGGAAACTCCCCAGACCTTAATCCCATTGAGAACTTGTGGTCAATCCTCAAGAGGCAGGTGGACAAACAAAAACCCACAAATTCTGACAAACTCCAAGCATTGATTATGCAAGAATGGGCTGCCATCAGTCAGGATGTGGCCCAGAAGTTAATTGACAGCATGCCAGGGCGGATTGCAGAGGTCTTGAAAAGAAGGGTCAACACTGCAAATATTGACTCTTTGCATAAAGTTAATGTAATTGTCAATATAAGCCTTTGACACTTATGGAATGCTTGTAATTATACTTCAGTATATTTTTATTTATTTATTTAACTAGGCAAGTCAGTTAAGAACAAATTCTTATTTACAATGACGGCCTACACCGGCCAAACCCAGACGACGCTGGGCCAATTGTGCACCACCCTATGGGACTCCCAATCACGGCCGGTTGTGATACAGCCTGGAATCGAACCAGGGGGTCTGTAGTGACACCTCAAGCACTGAGATGCAGTGCCTTAGACCGCTGCGCCACTCGGGAGCCCAGTATACCATAGTAACAGCTGACAAAAATATCTAAAAAAACTGAAGCAGCAAACTTTGTGAAGACCAATACTTGACCACGACTGTATAGACTATGTTGTGTTCAGTTTGAGAAGGAGAGTGTGAAGATGGAGGAGGACTGGAGGTCAACTTTGATAGCTTGCCACTACTATAATTTTTTTTATTTTGTTTTTTACCCAATATTTTTCTTGCCCATGGTGTATTCATCAGAGTTATTGACCTCACAATAAGCCAGATTTGAGTAGCCTTCATTGTGGTGCTGAAACTTGAAGCAGCAGTCGCAGCACAATCAATCGGAAATGGACAGCTTACGGTGCTGAAAGTAGGCAAATTCGAGTAGGCATAATTAATTTCAACCGTCTTCATTTTAATTAGACTTTACTAACAACAAGAGGGCTTTGTGTTGGAGCCTATTTCTTCCTATTTAAGAAATAACAGAAAATCACATTGTATGATTTTTAAGTAATTAATTTGCGTTTTATTGCATGACATAAGTATTTGATACATCAGAAAAGCAGAACTTAATATTACAGAGATCATACGTTTCCTGTAGGTCTTGACCAGGTTTGCACGCACTGCAGCAGGGATTTTGGCCCACTCCTCCATACAGACCTTCTCCAGATCCTTCAGGTTTCGGGGCTGTCGCTGGGCAATACGGACTTTCAGCTCCCTCCAAAGATTTTCTATTGGGTTCAGGTCTGGAGACTGGCTAGGCCACTCCAGGACCTTGAGATGCTTCTTACGGAGCCACTCCTTAGTTGCTCTGGCTGTGTGTTTCGGGTCGTTGTCATGCTGGAAGACCCAGCCACGACCCATC